GAGGGCTGCACAGCTGAGGGGCCTGGGGTTTCAGTCCTCTGGACTGTCACTGACCGGCGAGGGCTGCCGCCCGGCCGCTACACAAAGAACTTCCCGAGCCCACCCGCCTCCCTCACTGCGCCCAGATGCTCCCCCTTCCCATCAGTGCCCGGAGCCTGCCTTGAACTTGATGGCCCGTGCCCGCCCCCCACTCCCCTGCCCTACATAGGCTGACACCCTGCCCCCCACCCTGTGTCCTCAGGTCCCTCAAGCCTCCGAAGCAGGGTGTCCCGGCCCCCTGTGCGGATAACACAGAGCAGGGAGCAGTCCCTAGAGACATCCCCAGCACAGGTTTGTTTTCTGCTGTTTGGGGGTTTAACTCTAGAAGAGGAAGAGGCTCATGTTTCTCAGGGGGCCCGAAGGGGAGTGAAACAAAACTCCCCCAACACGCACAGGCTCGCCGGCCCCTTTCAACCTTCCGCTCACCTCTGCTGCTGCTATCTCAGAGCCTGCCACCTGCCTCCCGAGCACCCAGGAGCCCCCGGGGCCGTCTGTGCCTGTCCAGGTAGGGGGGGACCAGGCCAGGGCTTCACCCTGGCCACCTGCCAGGAAGGGTGTGTGGTGGCGGGTGGCCTCCCTGGCCGGCCCCTGCACACTCCCCTGCAGGTCGCTGCCTCTGCCTCTCGCAGGCAGAGCTGGGTGCTGGTTTGCCAGCGCCAGTGTGGGAGAGAGCTGGCACCAGCCAGAGTGCAGGAGCCTGCTGTCCTCCGTCCTTGCTATCTCCCCATCAACCAACCTGTTACCCCTTTCCAGGGGTGGTGGTCACCTCTGACCTCTGGGCCTGAGGGGCCCAACCCCACCCCACCTCCGGCCCCTCTCCCCTGGGAGCATGTCCCTGGAGCCCAAGGGTGCGGGTGTCCTCAGGGACTAGGCTGTTAGCAGTGGGGGGCTAGGCCTGACTGACTGGCCTCTGCCTGGAAGGATCTTATTCTGGGGGGAAGGAGAGGGTCCCAGCCAGCCCTGAGAGGGCAGGCGCGGTGTCCTTGTGTGGCCTCTTAGTGGCTCGCCCTGGTCCCTTTCCACAGCCACAGATCAGGCACAGGAACTGGGCGGCCACTGAGGGCCCGAGGTCACTGGGTGCCTGTCCCTAGTAACGTCTCTCGCCTCTCCTGCAGCCCCTGCTCCCAGAGCCCCTGGCCTGGAGCCTGCTGCCCAGCGCAGGGTACCAGGCGCAGCTCCTGGCTGCCCAGGCACAGCTCCAGAGCGGCACAGCCGAGCTCCAGGTGCAGCTTCTGCAGAGTCAGGCCAGGGTGGCCGAGCTGGAGGCCCAGGTGAAGGCAGGTGGGATAGGGAGGGCTGGAAGGCGTCCCTGTCCCGAGGAGCCCGCCCTGCCCGTGCTCCCCGACTGCATCCCAGGTGAGGAAGCTGGAGCTGGAACGGGCCCATCACCTGCTACTGCTGGAGAGTTTGCAGCAGCGACACCAGGCCGACCTGGAGCTCATCGAGAAGGCCCACAGGTCCGCGTGGCTCCTGCACAGCCGCCAGGCCCCGCCCCGCCGAGTGCGCGCAGCCGCCCTCAGAGGCAGCCTTCCCGCCCAGCGGCTGGTGTTGTGTTGGCAGAAGCCGCGTCAAGGTGCTGGAAGCGTCTTACCAGCAGCGGGAGGAGCGGCTGCAGAGAGAGAACGAGGAGCTGTCGGCCCAGTACCTGGCGTACCGCCAGGAAGCTGAGCAGGCCCGCAACGAGCTCACAGCCCAGCACCAGCGGCGCCTGGCTGCCGCCACGCAGGAGAAGGACCAGGAGATGGAGCGGCTCCAGGAGCTGCAGCGGTGAGGGCCCTCCCCAGCCGGTGAAGCACACCCGAGCACACTGACCCCGGCCCCCAACAGCGGGTGCCTGTCCTCCGAGAGGGAGGGAGTGAGCCCAGGCCTGCGGGTCACGGGTTGTGCGGGCAGGGCCTGCAGGAAGCCTCCCTGGGCCTAAGAGCCCCGGGGGCCGCTTACCTGCCTGACTCCAGTGGACCTGGAGACCAGGCGGACCCTGGAGGGGGGCTGTCGTGCCTGGAGCAGTTTTCCTATATGAAAACAACTCAGCAGAGGCGAGCAGGGAGCCGTGAGCAGCGGGGCAGGCCTTTCAGCGCCACTCAGCCGCCCACGCCAAGGCCTGAGGCCGCTGCCACGTGGAGAGCGCCTGCTGGGTCTCAGAGGGAGCCGCCCCGCAGTCTCGCAGTCTCGCGCTGAGGCTGGAGAGCCAGGGAGACAGAGCAGGGCCCCGAGGGAGGCGGGGCCTGGTGCCCGGGCTCTCGGCCGCCCGTGGTGTCAGCGGCATGGTCCCGCCGCCTGCCCTTAGGGCCTCCATCCTGGCGATGCGCACGGACCACGAGGAGCAGCTGCAGCGGCTGAAGCTGCTGAAGGACCGAGAGATCGATGCTGTCACCAGCGCCACCTCCCACACGCGGTACGTGCGCTGCCCGGCCCTGCCCATCCGAGGCTGGTGCCAGGGTCCGCGGGCCAGGGTGACCCCATCCTCCCCAGGTCCCTGAATGGCATCATCGAGCAGATGGAGAAGTTCTCCAGCAGCCTCAGCGTGCTGTCCTCCCGCGTGGAGGCCTCGCACGTCACCACTGCCCAGGAGCGGGAGCTGGGCCTGCGGCAGCGGGATGAGCAGCTCCGAGGTACCGGGGCGCCTCTCCCTGCCCCGCGAGTGGGGCGGTGGGGAGGGGCGGGCAGTGAGCGCGTGGGCCCTCCGCAGCGCTGCAGGAGCGGCTGGGCCAGCAGCAGCGGGACGTGGAGGAGGAGCGGGGCCGGCTGCACGAGGTCATCGGGAAGATGGAGGCGCGCCTCAGCGAGCAGAGCCGGCTGCTGGAGCAGGTGGGCCCGGCCCCCCACTGCCCGGGGCCCAGCCGCTGCCGCTTGCGCCCCGCCTCCCACTGCAGGAGCACCCCGTCTTGGGTCTGTCACGGCAGCAGCACCCCTGCACTGGGAGAGGCGCCCCAGTGCCTGAGCCGGAGCAGCGTATTTCTGAGGCCTGCCCCCGCCCCCGCCCCCGGCTTCCCTCTACAAAGTTATGTAGGAGACCTGGGAGCCTCCCTGGTGGCCTGGGGGTTGAGTCTCGGCACCACCACCGTGCAGGCCCACCGCAACAGCCTAAGTTTGATCTCCGGCCAGGGAGTGGCCCACAAGGCACAGAGGACCCCTCCTGTCTCCGGATCTCTCAGTGGATCCGCCTGATGTGCTCCCCACTGTTTCTGGGGAATCTTCTACTCCCCCACCCCTGTACTTTAGGCCTACACCCCAGTTCTTCTATGCAGAAACAGGCAAATAAATAGAATATTTTTAAATAAATAAATAATACCTTATGAAACATTTCACTGGAAAATATTAAAATAGAGGCAAAATGAAGAAAAAGTCACCATGAGCCAGACATGACCTCTGATGACGTCATGTACGCCTGTAGATGAGTGGCATGGGACAGGTCCTCACACCTCCACGCTGCCGCTTCAGGCCTCTGGGGAGCCTCAGGCCAGGCGCAGCTCAGCTCCTCAGCTCCTGCTGTGCCATGCCCCCGGGCTCACGAGTCACGGCAAATGGTGCTCGGCCACGGCCTGGACTCAGGCCGGCAGGGGTGGGGGGACTGGGGTAGACAGAAGGCGGTTGCTGCTCTTGCACCTCTCAGCCGTGGTTCCCGAGCCTGGCATGTCTGTGTGGCCATGCCCAGGCCCTGGCAGCCTTCCTAGGCACCTCATCTGGCACCTCTCTGGAAAGGTGGTGCTTTTGCCCAGCATGGGAGATGGGGCTGGGTTTGCCCAGCTCCCAGGGAGGCGCTCGGCCTGATGGGGTCAGGAGAGCCCAGAGCGCACGCCTCAGCCCTGGCCTGCCTGCAGGAACGCTGGCGGGTGAACGCTGAGCAGACCAAGGTGGAGTCCACGAAGCGAGCCCTGGAGGAGCAGCGGAAGGTCACAGCCCAGCAGATGGCCATGGAGCGGGAGGAGCTGGAGAGGGCCAAGGTGAGTCCGGCCCCGCCGCACTCAGCGGCCGTCCGTGCCGAGACGTCCGGGTCCCGCTCACCCTGCCGCCCACTGTCCCAGAGTGCCTTGCTGGACGAGCAGAAGGCCGTCATGCACAAGTGCGGCGAGGAGCGGCGGCACCTGGCGGCCGAGTGGGCCGAGTTCTACGCGCAGCAGAAGCTCAGTAAGGAGCGGGCGGAGCGCGAGGCAGAGCGGGCCAAGCAGGCGGACAGCCAGCGGGAGGGCACCCTCATCGGCCTGGCCAAGGTAGGCCCCTCGGCTGGCCGGCCCCACGACATCATCGCGCCTGTGGCATCATCCCAACAGCTCCCCTCCCCCGCCGGCCCTGCGCTGCCCACCGTTCTCGTGCGCTCCTACCGTGTCCCCATAACGAGGACGCGGGGGGTTCGGAGGAGTTGAGCCTGGGTGAGCAGCTGCACAAGGCACGGCCCCAGGCCTCTGGCCCTGTCCCCGCCTACCAGAAGCAGGCAGCGCTGACCGCCACCGTGCGGCAGCGCAGCCGAGGGGCCCCAGTCCTGAGCAGCGCCTGCTCAGCTCCCGAGGGAGAATGCCAGGACTTTCTGGCCCCAGGAGCAGGCCGAGCTCAAGATCAGAGCAAGCGAGCTCCGCGCCAAAGAGGACCAGCTGGCGGCCGAGAGGGAGGCTCTGGAGCGGGAGCGGCAGGAGCTGCGGCTGGAGAAGGAGCGGGCCAGCGCCACGGCCCAGCGCCTGCGGCTGCGCACTCAGGAGGTGGAGGACATGAGCCAGGTGCCCGCACCGCAGCTCTGGGGCCGGGTGGGCACGGGCGCTGCTGGACCCCGCCAGCCCACTGACCAGGTGGCTGCCCCAGGTGGCTTCGGAGAAGTACAAGGAGGGGGAGCAGGCGCTTCAGGAGGCCCGGCAGGTGCGGTCGGAGCAGCAGGCCCAGCTGCAGCTGGTGCAGCAGCAGCAGGAGCAGCTGCGGCAGCAGGAGCAGCACGTGCACCAGGCAAGGCTCCCCTCTGGCTCCCCGCGCCCCCTCCAGCTTCCCCTCCTCACCGTGTGTGTGTCCTCTCTGGGGTGTCGGACAGGAGCATCTGAGTCTGGCCCAGCAGAGGATCCAGCTGGACCGGGCCCGGCAGAGCCTGCCCTTAGGGCCGCTCCCCAAGGCCCAGGGCCTGGCGGCTCCCAGCCTGCATGGTAAGGGGCACGGCGACGCGGTTCAAAGTAGAGGGCAGCGGGGTTCCTCTCTCACACTAAGTGATGCACCCCAGTTGTAGACAGATAAGAGGGCGAGCGAGGAAAGCTCTGTCAGACATGGCCAGCCCACTCGCCAGCGTCCAGAGGCCCCCTGGGAGTGCCTGGACATGCAACGTGGCAGCTTTGGGGTTTTTCTAGTTGGGATCACAGCACGCGCTTCGGAGCTTGGCTTTCGTCATTCAGAAACAAACGTAGGGAGCATGCTTTCACCCAGTAATTAAGTGTCTGGGTCAGCATAACGTTCCACGATGCGGAGGGTCCCTGGTCTCGTAATGAGCCCCCCGCACGTGGTTTTTTGGCCACTAAGACGAGCCGCCTCAGTGGGGTCTGCGTCCTGCACCGTCCCAGCCGTCTCCCTTGGCGAGGTGCTAGTCCTGGCCTCAGCGAGTCGAGCACGGGCGTCGGAGAGGCTTTAGAGCTGGGGCCGGGCCCAGGGGCATCGGCAGCACCCCTCCACGTGCCCCGTGATGTCCTCCTTGCTCTTTCTAGCCGCCATGGCTCCTTCCCTGGCCCCCAGGTGCAGCCAGCCACCTGCCAGCCTGAGCCCCTCGAACCTCTACGCCAAGCTGGTGCTGCTGAAGCACACGGCAGAGCAGGTGAGCGCCCAGGGCAGAGCCCGGCCCGGAGGCTCCCCAAGCCCCCGGCCCTGAGGCCCAGGGAGGAGCATGTCTTGGCCCTCCCTGGGCCAGGTCTGTGCCTGGGTCATCAGCGGGACCTCGCGGTCACTCGGGGCACCTCCTCCCTCGTGGGAGGCTCCAGCCACACACAGGCACTGTGGGTGCCTCACCACAGCAGAGCCTGCTCACTGTCACTTGTGCACGCGTGCTCGCTCCATGGCCTGGTGCTTCCCAGAGCCACGAAGGACGGGGGTCAGTGGGAGAGGCTCCCCGAGTGGGGCTGGGCTGAGCTGGCACCCATGCCACCTTGCTCTCAGTTCCCCGAGCTGGCGTCCCTGTCCAGGGAGGCTGGGACATGAGGGAGTGGGGGCAGCTGCCGCCGTGTCTGCCTTTCAGGACCGCGACTTCCTGGAGAATGAGCAGTTCTTCCTGGACACCCTGAAGAAAGCCGCCTACAATGTGACATCCCACTCAGCCTGAAGGGCCCCACCTTCCTCGCTGGAGGCCGCACGCCCAAACTCTTCCTCACACCCCTGGCTGCCGACCCTGAGGAGGGGGTGCCCCGCAGAGGACCACCAGGCCTGATGACAGCTCTTCTGCTGGACAGGGGGTCAGCGCCTTCTTCGCAAGCACCAGGCTGAGACAGACACACCCCGTGCCTCCAGGAGGCGCCCCACAGCACGTCCTGTCCCAAAGACGCTCAGGTGGATGGTTTGGCACCTTTTTGCCTGAACCTCTTCTGGGGTCCTCCAGAGGGAAGCTCCAGGAGGCCCCCTCCCGCCCCTTCCTGGGAGGCTGAGGCAATGCCTGGTGCCTTCCCAACAGGGACGCAGGGTCAGCCTTGCGGGGGGCGGGGTCTTGGGGCTCCAGCCCGTTTTACCTGCAGGCCTGACATGCCCCTCCCCCAGGCCGGCCTGCAGCTGGCTCCCAGCTGCCCACGCAGGGGCACTGATCTCAGCTCTTCTAATAGGCTTCCCAGCGGCGGTCGGGGGGCTGTGGATGTCAGTGGGGTGCGGAGAGCAGTGGGGAGAGCAGGTTTCTCACTCTGCTGGTCCCAGCCATGAGGCCACAGCTGTGTGGGAGCGAAGGTGACAAAGCCAGAGCCTCTGCCCTGGGCCCATAGCGTGGGGGAGTCCCAGGGCCCTGCCTACTGCTGCCCCTGCATCCTCCACCTGTGGCCAGTTGCCAAGGCCAGCTGGAGGGGCTATCCCCGGGAGACCCAGGGACAGAGGGACTCCACTAATAAAGCCAGTCACTTGCAAAGCAGCAGCTCTCGGCCAATGACATCACCTCCTGTCAGAAGAAAATGTGGGGTGCACAGAGGGTGGGGGAACAGTGCTGGGTGGCAGCCATGTGTCCCTGCTCTTTCAGGTCCCTCCCCTGATCACAGCGGTCCACGTTCACCTGGCCCGTTACGGGGTGGCATTCTTATCTACTGGGTTTTCACCTGTTGCCGCAGCTCATCAGCGCGCACTTACTGCTTAGCCATGTCTGCTCTGCAGCCTTGTCATTTGCGGGAGAGCTGGTGGGGCCTCCAGCCACGCACCCCTCCACCGCCCTGTGCTCCTAGCCTGCTGATTGGGCTGTGAGCATCACCCTGTGTCACAGGTGAAGGGACAGAGGCCCCGGGAGCCCAGAGAACTTGCCTGAAGTGGCACAGCAAAGACAGGGTCCGAGTGTGAGTTCTTGCAGATTTCAAAGCTGGCTCCCAGCTCACCCCTCGCCTTCCTCCCCGAGTAGCACAGCACTCGGGCCGATGGGTGGAAGGTGTCCGCATGTCCGCGAGGCTAGGGGTTTGTCCCTCCCCAGGAGGAGGCAGCGGTACCCTGGAGAGCTTTGGAAACCTGGCATCTGGGCCTCTGCACACACCCTGCAAAAGGGAGGCAGGTCCTGAGGGCAGGGGCCCAGCAGGTCACCTGATGCAGGTGAGGTGCAGGTGCAGGGACACACTTGGTCTTCCAGAGCAGCAGGATGAGATTCCAACTAGAGGTGGTCGTCAGGCTTCATAGGTGCTGTTGGAGTTTGAGCCTTTGGACCGGGACCGGGGCCGGGGGTGTTAAGCAGGTTGGGCCATGTTTATATTTTAGAAGACCCGTTCTAGTAGACTATGTAAAAGGAAATTAAATACAGTAGGGAATTAGAGGCGATGAAAAGCAAGGACACCCAACACAGTTAAAGCTCTGCGTAGGCTTCGTTCACTCCCACGAGGCCGGCACTGCTACTGCTGGCTTTCTTTCCAAAAGAGTACTACTGCAAGGGTGACAGGAACTTGAACCCAAGCAATCTGACCTCAAAGCTCCATGCTGGCACCCCCTCTTGCACCCCTCTGCAGCTCCATTGGGGGCCAGGGCGCCGCTCCTGGGGTCGGTTGGGTGACTTCACCGGCCTGTGCCAGCTGCCGCCACGTGCGCCCTCCCTGGGTGGCAGGGACCGGGGGAGGACAGGGACCGGGGCTGCTCGCAGCTCCGCCTGCTGTGCGCCTGGACTAGGAGGGATCTGGGTGAGGGCGGGGCTCGAAGG